GGGATTAAGCAGGCACCTCGACTATGGCAGCAGTACCTGCACAACGTCCTCACGTAGCTCGGATTCAAACAACTACCGCATGACCTTGGGATGTACCGGAAGGAGTCGCGCGGGAAGTTCATCCTCCTTGTTACCTACGTCGACGATCTCCTCTACACTGGCGACGACATGGAGCTGCTGGACCAGTTCGAAGCTGACATCAAAGAGAAGCTAGAAGTAACAATCAACCACTCCGTCACGCAGTTCCTGGGCCTCAACATCACTCAGTCCGCCACCTCCACTCACCTTTCCGCCGCCAAGTATGCGGAAACACTCGCGAAGAAATTTGATGTCGCGCTTATCAATCTCACCACTCCCTACCGCACTCCTCCTCCTAATCACGAACCGGATACCACGCCGCTCTCCATCGACAATCATCGGCTCTATCAACAGTAGCTGGGGTGTCTCCTGTTCACCGCCGTCGCGTGCCAGCCCAATCTTTCCTACGTCGCAAGCCAGCTCGCACAGTACCTGAAGCGACCTGAAGAGGAGAATCTACTGGATCTACGCTGAGCACTTCAATACTTCGTCTCTACTCCCGACGTCGGCCTCACCTACGAAGCTATCTTAACTGCTACCCTGCAACTCCATGGCTACGTAGACACGGACCACGCAGGAGACATTGACAACAGACGCTCTTGCACAGGATTCATTTTTCAACTCCAACCTGCTGGGCTCATCTCTTGGAACTCTCAGAAGCAGGAACTTATCGCCCTTTTGTCTGTGAGAATTGAGGAATGAAATGAACTAGCACAAAGTTGGGTACAAGTAGGAAACCTAGAAGTGTTGTACCCCATATTGTCTACCCCACTACAGCCTACACAGACTATAGCATATGAGTTTGACACACCCCCATAGGCAAAGTGGGGGAGAACAAGAGGTCACAAAACCATTCAAGCAAAGCAAAGCAAGCTCAAGGTGGATCACAACGTCACCACACAATCCGAGCACAAGAGCAACGCCAAAAGGCCAGTTCACATGCAAGATCATATATAAAGGTAAACAAGCAAGTGCAGGTATAGAAAGATCACAGTACAAGCAAGGTCAAGAAGTGAGCAAGTGAGGCCAAGTAGGCACAAGACCTAGCATCGTAGAGAAACGCTGATGATCACCAGGCGGGAGTGCCTTGGTAAAGATATCAGCAATGTTGGCCTCAGAGGCCACGTAAGCAAGGCGCAGCTGACCACGCTGCTGCAGCTCACGAGCAAGGAAGTAGCGAAGAGCAATGTGCTTCGTTTTGTGCTCCAGTCTGTGCTCCCGACACAAGGCCAGCAAGGCCTTGTTGTCTACGTACAGAACTGGAGGAGAACGAGGCGCCTCTCCTAGGTCAGTTAGCAGGTAGGTGAGCCAGCGAAACTCTTGTGCAGCCATGGCCCCCGCGTAGATCTCAGCCTCACAGCTGGAGCCGAGAACAGAAGACGAGCGGGTAGACCGCCACGAAACAGAGTCGGAACCAAGGCTGGAGGTGTAACCCTGTGACGACCGCTGCGTAGCCTAGTCGTCAGCCCAAGAAGCGTCAGCGTGACCTGTGAGGACCACTCGACGTCGCCCTCCAAGCCTAGCCCCATGCCCGACGTACTGCACAAGTAGCGCAACACCCTCTTCGCTGCAGCCATGTGCTCTGGTCGGTGTCTCCCAGGAGCAACATAGCGTGCCAAGATGCTAAGAGGGTATGCAAGGTCAGGTTGTTTGCAGGTCATCAGGTACATGAGGCAGCCAACAAGCTCTGGGTACGGGCCACTCGGCTCTACGGACTCATCCGAAGGCAGAGCTGAGAGCGAGTGGCGAGTAGACAGAGGAGTGGCCTGAGGCGAGGAGTACGTGAAGTCGAAGCGCTGAAGGACCTGCTGCACCATGTGTGACTGTGTCAGGGTAATGACGTGGGCGAGTCCAGCAGTGTCAGCTGTGGCAAAGACCAAGTCGTCGACGTACACGAGGATGTAGAACGGCGGCAAAGAGGTGTCGGTGCGCAGAAACAGCGACGGGTCGGCAGTAGAAGGAGGAAACCCAAGAGCCGCAAGTGTAGTCCTCAATGTGTGGTGCCACTCACAGGGCGCCTAGCGGAGACCGTAGACTGGCCGCCGGAGGCTCCACTGGGTACCAGGAGGAAACGACCCAGTGAAGCCAGGTGGGCGGCGCAGCCAGATCTCCTCGTGCAGGCTGCCCTGCAGGAAAGCCGTGCTGAAGTCAAGAGAGTGAAGCTCGTAGTCGCACTGAGCAGCTATGTGCAGCAGCACCCAAAGAGTGGTCATCTTCGGGGTGGGAGAGAAGGTCTGAAAGTAGTCGACTCCCTGCCGCTGACTGAAGCCTCGAGCCACGTAACGCGCCTTGAAGACAGGCGGAGAACCCGGCGGCCGCTTCACCCTGAAAATCCACATGCCACTGACGATGTTCGCCCAAGGTGGGGGAACCTCGTCAACGTAGGTGCCTGTGGACTTCCAGGAAGCCATCTCTGCGTCCATGGCCGACTACCTCTGAGAGGAGTAGGGACCCTCGATCGCCTCAGCATACGATCGGGGAGTCGGGATGTCAGGTGCGTCCGGGTCTCCCTCAAGGGCAATCAGCGTGGACACGAGATGGGGCAAAGCAGCAGCAAAGCACTGGAACTCCTCCTGCCTGTCCTTAAGGACGTCCGTGCCAAGAGCACACTCACCCCCGACGGACGGAGGACAGACAGACTCAGACCCAGCAACTAGACTAGCAGCGTAGTCTAGACGACAGCGAGCAGCGAAGTCGACAAGCTCAGCAACTAGGACAGACGCAGCAGTGAACTCAAAGGAAGGGTCAGTGACAACAGTAGCCAGGAGACGCGTGACAGAAGGACTGGCAGCACGAAGAGAGTCAGACTCCGGGTCAGCAAGAGTAGAAAGAGAGGACTCTAGAGGAGACGGCAACGGGACACGCAGAGGAGCAGTGGAAGGACGCAGCGCCATCTGGTGTGTGCCTGGGACCGTAGGAGGACGCGGACGCGCAGTACGACCACTAGTGCGAGCAGCACGAACAGGCGACGCAGGACAAGACGCAGGCTCACGACGCTGAGCAAGACCTCCAGTAGGACCAGTGTAGGGAGAAGGAGCAGGTAGGGGGGAGGCGTGCTGTAACTGTGACTGCGACTAGACAGGCTGTGGACACTCTAAGGGAGGAGCAGGACCAGTAGAGGGCGGGAGACCAATAACCTGCTCCAGGAGCGGAACGAAGTACGGCCTCGGCTGCGCAGCGCCTCCAAAACCAGCAAGGACAGCACCAGCACCCCCAGCGGCAGCACCAGCGCCAGCAGCACCTCCAGCTCCAACAGCGCCAACTCCAACACCCCCAGACGCACCAGTGCCAGCAGAAACACCAGCGCCAACACCCCCAGCAGCTCCAGCTCCAGCAGCACCAGTACCGCCAGCAGCTCCAGCAGGACCAACTCCAGTAGCCCCAGCAGCACCCGCAGTCCTAGCAGCTCCAGGACCGCCAGTACGAGCACCTCCGGGACCAGCAGCAACAGTAGTACCTCCAGCTCCAGCAGCACGGCTCCAGCGCCGGGCAAACCACTCGCGCAGCTCCTGTGGAGAGAGTGGCTCCTGCCTCGACGAAGCACCGCCGGCGACCACACGAGCAGACCCAGCGCCCCCAGGCTCCCCACCCCTAGGCTCAGCACCCCCAGACCCAGCACCCCCAGGCTCAGCACCCCCAAACTCAGCACCTCCAGACCCGGCACCCGCAGGCTCAGCACCTCTAGCAGCACCTGAGTCAACAGCTACCTCGACAGGCTCGAGTGCGTCTACCTGGGACACACCTGACGGGGCAGGACCCTGAGGGGGGAGGGGGTCTACCGGGGGAGGACCTGGCGCAAGGAAGAGCGGCGGCGGGGGGAGGGGCGCAGTGCGGTAGGGGAAGAGAAGGTAGTAAGGCACCGACTCGTCAAAGGTGACGTCCTGGGAGGACAGAACACGACGCGAGGTGGGGTGGTAAAACTGCCACCCAGGCGTGTCAGGGGGGAAGCCTAGGAAAACGCAGGGAACAGCACGGGGGGACAGCTTGTCCGCAGACAAGTCGCGGACAAACGCCTGAGATCCCCAGAACCGTAACGCAGACGCATCGCTAACCTTCCCCGTCCACCACAAGGAAACGGCCACAGAAAATGGGGGGCAGCCGCATGCATCATGGACGTACGAGCTACGTCCATGACCATGCCAACGCGGCGCTCAGCAATCCCATTTTGTTGTGGAGAGGCCGGAAGCGTGAAGGTCTGGCGGATGCCCTGTGCACGACAGAAGGCTCCCAGACGGGCAGAGGAAAACTCCCCGCCTTTGTCCGAGTGCAGACGCAGAACAGGAAAGTCCGAGCCGAAACTCTCCTTGAGCTGGAGACGAGCTGCGCGGATCCACTCGATCAACACCTCAGTGACGTCACCCTTGCTGCGCAAGGGGAAGACTGTGGTGTAACGCGAGTAGTCGTCAACCACCAACAGGAAGTAACGCTCGTGTCCCTGCCCACGGACGCGGGCGGGGCCCCACACGTCCATGTGGAGGGTCTGTAGCGGAGCCTCTGTCGGAGGAAACTCGGAGGAGTGAGGGGCGGCGCGCTGTCGCCCCTCGACGAAGGGGACGCAGGTAGGGCCAGGCCTCGGAGGTAGGGGAGGGAGAGACTGAGGGAGACCAGAGACAAGGACACGGGAGGCCATGCCTCGGAGACGAGGCAGGGAGGGGTGACCAAGGCGGTGGTGCCAGAGGAGAGTCTAGTGGGACAGTAGACGACACGAGCAGGGAGCAGACTGAGGACCAGACCTGGACACTGCAGCAAACACCTGACTCGACGCAGCTACCTGGCCAGACTCAACAGCCGGAGGAGACTCAGTAGTAAGGGTGTACAGGCTCGACCCTGGCCGACGGGTGAACGTGGCCAAGTGTCGGCCTTTCCGAGCACACGTGCAGTGGGTCACCCGCTGACTCGCAGGAGTGAACTGGTCATCCCCCCTATCCTGTAGGTCCGCCAGAGAGGTCTGCCAGGGAGACTGCAACCGGCCGACTGAGCGGCGTAAAAGTGGTGCGGTCTCGAAAGAAGGAGCGGGACGCACCCGAGTCAAGGGTGAAGGTGTTTAAGGCCTGAGCCGACGTAGTACCTGCGAGAGCAGACTCACCAGCACCTGGGGCAGCAGACGCACTAGCACCTAGGGCAGTAGACGCACTAGCACCTAGAGCAGCAGCCTCACCAGCACCTAGAGCAGTGGCCTCAATGCCCGGGTCAGGCGGTACACACAGGTAACAGTCACCCTCAACACTAGTAGTCACAGAATACATGGCAGCAAGGATAGCATCATAGTCAAGATCAAAGATGGCAACCCCTGCACTAGACAGATCTCCCCAGCGAGGGATCTCTGACGCCTCAGGGAACTGGTGACGCCACGCGTCCGTCAGGCGGCCGAAGCAGCGCTGGGTGGAGTGCGGGCCCCCGCCCTGCTCACCAGCTCGGTCGCCGGTACGGAGGACGTAAGTGCAGGGACCAGTACCCCCACCGCGCTGACTGCGTAGCGTACCACTCACGAAGCCGCTGGGGGGACAGGGTCTCACCACTCCACTGCTGCTGGCGCGGACCACCACCTGACCCACTCCTCTGCGCAGAGTCGCGACTTGCTCCACCACCGCCGCCGCCGCCGCCTCCGCCACCTCCTCCACCTCCGCCTCCTCCGCCACCTCCGCCGCCTTCGTCCCCTCCGCCACCACCGCCGCCTCCTCCGCCTCCACTGCTGCCGCCGCCGCCGCCACCCCCGCCACCACTCCCACCACCACCCCCACCCCCTCCACTGCCTCCACCACCACCTCCACCGCCCCCGCCAGCCCCTCCAGCGCCCTTGCCCCCCTTGCCCTTGCCGGTGTGGCGTCTCCCGCTAGGGGCAGACGCAGCGCCGACCGACTCGAAACCAACGAGGTCGGCCGCAGCAGCAGAAGCAACAGAGGGCAAGAGGGGGGGGGGGGGGGGGGAACACCCCTCAAAGACGAGGGTGCGAGGGTCACCACGAGTGGCTCCTACAGCGACTATGCTCTTCTCTGCTGCTAGGAGGCCCTTCTCGATGAGGTCAGCGGTGAGAGTGGTGGGGCAAACTGAGAGGAACTGGTCCCTGACTACGCGGAGAGAGTCAGGGAGCCGAGTGACTATGTAGTAGAGGGTGATGTACATGGGGGGGGGGGGGGGGGGGGGGGGGGGGGTTCTTGGCGCAGAACTCAGCAAAAAGCGCAGCGCGATAGCGAGTGTCACTAGTGCGGAGGTGCGTAATAAGGTCAGCAACTGTGGGAAAGGCAGCAAGGTCAGGGAAGAGGTACGGTAGCATGAGGCGGCTCAGTGCAGCAGTGGCAGGGGAAGAGTAGCGTGCAACTACAGCGTCGTACAAGGTCTGAGCACTCTTGTACTGGCTAAAGTGCGCACGCTCAGTGGTCGGTAAGTGGCGACGCACAGCAAGACGAGCAGCAGCATCGCGTGTCGCCCACTGTGAGCGAACAGTGCTGTGTTGGAATCACTGAACAGGAATGAATGAACTAGCAGTGAAATGAGTACAAGTACCTAACCCTAGAATTGTGTACCCCCTATAGGCTAACCCACTGTAGCCTAAACTAACACAACATATATAATGTTTGACACACCCCCATAGGCAAAGTGGGGGAGAACTAGGGGTCACAAGACCAGTCAAGGCAAAGCAAGGCAAAACAAGCTCAGGGTGGATCTCAAGGATAGCACACAAATTCCGAGCACAAGCAAGTGGTCACAAGACCAGTTCACATGCAGGTTTATAATGATCACAACCTAACAAGAGTAAACATGCAGGTATATATATAGAAATCACAGTACAAACAGACTCAAGAAGTAAGCAAGTGAGGTCCAGTAGGCACAAGGCCTAGAAGAGTGCAAAAGCGCTAATGGTCACAAGGCTGAAGCGCCTTGGTGAACACATCAGCAGTGTTGGCCTCAGAGGCCACGTAACGCAGGCGAAGCTGACCACGCTGCTGCAGCTCTCGAGCAAGGAAGTAACGCAGAGCAATGTGCTTCGTTCTGTGCTCCAGTCTGTGCTCCTCACACAAGGCAATGGCTGCCTTGTTGTCGACGTACAACACTGGAGGAGAACGAGGCTGCTCTCCAAGGTCGGTCAGCAAGTAGGTGAGCCAGCGTAGCTCATGGGCCACCATGGCTGTGGCATAGATCTCAGCCTCACAACTGGAGCTGAGAACAGAAGAAGAGCGAGTAGAACGCCAAGAAACAGAACCAGAGCCAAGACTGAAGGAGTAACCCTGAGACGACCGCTGAGTAGCCTGGTCGTCTGCCCAAGAAGCGTCTGAGTGCCCAGTGAGAACAACTGGGACTCGCCCTCCAAGCACTAGCCCCATGCCCGACGTACTGCACAAGTAGCGCAACACCCTCTTAGCTGCATCCATGTGCTCCTTCCGGTGACGGCCGGGAGCGACATAGCGTGCAAGAATGCTGAGAGGGTATGCAAGGTCTGGTCGAGTGCAGGTCATCAGGTACATGAGGCAACCCACGAGCTCTGGATACGGGCCACTCGGCTCTACGGACTCATCCGAAGGCAGAGCTGAGAGCGAGTGACCGGTAGGCAGAGGAGTGGGCTGAGGCGAGGAGTACATGAAGCGGAAGCGCTGAAGGACCTGCTGCACCATGTGTGACTGAGTCAAGGTGATGGTGCGGCGTGCTCTGTCCCGGGTGATCCGCAAGCCAAGATAGCTTGTCAGTTCACCCAGGTCTGTGCATGTGTGTCTCTTCTGCAGCTCCGACTTCACGTGGGCGAGTGCCACAGTGTCAGCAGTAGCAAAGACCAAGTCGTCGACGTACACAAGGACGTAGAATGGCGGAAGTGAGGTGTCGGTGCGTAGAAACAGCGACGGGTCAGCAGTAGAAGGCGCGAACCCAAGAGCCGCAAGCGTAGTCCTCAGTGTGTCGTGCCACTCACGAGGCGCATGGCGGAGACCGTAGACCGGCCGTCGGAGGCTCCACTGGGTACCATGAGGGAACGACCCAGTGAAGCCAGGTGGACGGCGCAGCCAGATCTCCTCGTGCAGGCTGCCCTGTAGGAAAGCTGTGCTGAAGTCAAGCGAGTGGAGCTCGTAGTCACGCTGAGCGACGACGTGCAGCAGAACCCGAAGAGTGGTCATCTTTGGGGTCGGGGAGAAGGTCTGGAAGAAGTCAACTCCCTCTCGCTGACTGAAGCCTAGTGCAACGTAACGCGCCTTGAAGACAGGCGGAGAGCCCGGCGGCCGCTTCACCCTGAAAATCCACATGCCACTGACGATGTTCGCCCCAGGTGGGGGAACCTCGTCGACGTAGGTGCCTGTGGACTTCCAGGAAGCCATCTGTGTGTCCATGGCTGACTGCCACTGAGAGGAGTAGGGACCGGCCATCGCCTCTGCGTAAGAGCGTGGGGTCGGGATGTCTGGTGCATCCGTGTCAGCAAGAGCAGGAAGAGAGGAAGCAGGAGGAGACGGCAGTGGGACACGCTGTGGAGCAGTGGACGGACGAAGCACCATCCGGTGAGTGCCTGGGACAGCAGGAAGACGCTGACGCTGGACTCGACTACTAGAGAGAGCAGTGCGGACAGGCGACTCAGGACGAGACTCAGGCGACGCAGGACGAGACGCAGGCTCACGCCGCTCAGTAAGACCTCCAGTTGGACCAGTGTAAGGAGCAGGACCAGGGAGAGAGGAGGCAGACGGTAACGCCGACTGCAGCTGGAGAGGCGGAGGACACGCTAAGGAGGGAGGAGGAAAAGGAGGAGGAAGCTGACCATGAACCTGCTGAAGGAGCGGAACAAAGTACGGCCGAGACCGAGCAGTGACACCACAGCCAGCAGGGACACCCGCACTAGGGTCCGCAGCACCAGCAGCAGCTCCAGCGCCCACGTCCTCAGCACCAGCGGCAGCTCCAACGCCCGGGTCCTCAGCACCAGTAGCAGCTCCAACGCCCGGGTCCGCAGCACCAGCGGCAGCTCCAACGCCTGGGTCCTCAGCACCAGCAGCAGCACCAACGCCCGGGTCCTCAGCACCAGCAGCGGCTCCAACGCCCGGGTCCTCAGCACCAGCAACAGCTCCAACGCCCGGGTCCTCAGCACCAGCAGCAGCTCCAACGCCCGGGTCCTCAGCACCAGCAGCAGCTCCAACAGCAGCGGGGTCCGTAACACAAGGCACGCCACTCCGAAGAGTGCAGCGCCGCTCGTACCACTCACGGATCCGCTCGCGGGAGGGGAGCTCCCGAACGGGAGAAGAAGCACTAGCACCAGTCCCAATAGTACGTCCGGCTCGAGCGGTACCTCTCCGGAGGCTGCAGTACTCTAAGTACCACGCACGCAGCTGCTCCGAGGAGAGGGCTCCTCCAGGTGGAGGACTCCCAGGCCTAGTACCTCCAGACTCAGAACCCCCAGACTCCGGACTCCGCAGCTCAGCACCACGAGGCTCCACACCCCCAAGCTCAGCACCCTCAAGCTCCACACCCCCAGGCTCCACACCCCCAGGCTCCACACCCCCAGGCTCCACACCCCCAGGCTCCACACCCCCAGGCTCAGCACCCCCAGCAGGATGAGATTCGACAGCTACCTCAACAGGCTCAACCGGGTCTACCTGAGACACACCTGAGGGAGCGGCACCCTGAGGGGGGAGGGGGTCTGCAACAGCAGCACCTGGCGCGAGGAAGAGAGGCGGGGGGGGGAGCGGGGCAGTGCGGTAGGGGAAGAGGCGGTAGTAGGGGACGGACTCGTCAAAAGTGACGTCCTGGGAGGGCAAGACTCGGCGCGAGGTGGCGTGGTAAAACTGCCAACCAGACGCGTCCGGGAAAAAGCCGAGGAAGACGCAGGGAACAGCACGGGAGGAGAGCTTGTCCGCAGACGAATCGCGGACAAAAGCTCGAGACCCCCAGACCCGGAAACGCGACGCATCGCCAACCTCCCCCGTCCACAGCAGCGTGGGCGAGGTCTCCGGCAAGGAGACACGGGGCCAGAGGTTGAGCTGATGCGCAGCGTACCGGACCGCAAACGGCCACAGAAAGTGGGGGGCAGCCGCATGGATCAAGGAGGCACGGGCGACCTCCATGACCAGGCCAATGCGGTGCTCCGCAACCCCATTCTGCTGTGGAGAAGCCGGAAGCGTGAACGACTGCTCAATGCCGTGCTCAGCACAGTAGGCTGCCAAGAGGTCGGAGGAGAACTCACCACCTCTGTCAGAGTGCAAGCGCAGGACAGGAAAGTCCGAGTGAAAACGCTCGCTGAGCTGGAGACGGGCTCTGCGGATCCAAGGGATCAAGACATCAGGGACCTCACCCTTGGTGCGCAAGGGGAAGACCGAGGTGTAGCGCGAGTAGTCGTCAACAACTATCAGGAAGTACCTCTCCTGACCCTGACCAGGACACGGGCTGGGCCCCACACGTCCATGTGGAGTGTCTGCAAGGGAGCAGTCGTCGGGGGGAACGAGGAGGAGTGAGGAGCGGCGCGCTGCCGTCCCTCGACACAGGGGAGACAGGTAGGAGCAGGCGAGGGTGGGAGGGCAGGAAGGACCCTGGGCAGGCCAGAGACAAGGTACCGGGAGTGCATGGCACGAAGCCGCTGCACAGACGGGTGGCCAAGGCGGTGGTGCCAGAGGACAGTCTCGTGTGCCAAAGAGCGACACGAGCAGGGGGCGGACAGCTGACCTGACGCGGACGCGGACGCAGTCGCAGCAACCTGAGGGGACTCAGTAGTCAGTGTGTACAGGTCCGACCCTGGCTGCCGAGTGAAGGTAGCCAAGTGACGGCCCGTACGAGCACACGTGCAGTGTGTCACGCGCTCGTAGGCAGGGGTGAACTGGTGAACACCCCCGTCCTGGAGTGCACATCCTGCCACCAAGTTCGTAGAGAACGAGGGGAGGTGGAGACCTGACAGTGTGCCCGACGGGACCGCAGGGGAGGGAAGGACAGTGGAAGAGGTCGCAATGACCGGACCCCCAGAGGGGTCAGCAAGGGAGACAGCAACTGGCCGAGCAAGCGGCTCAAGGGTAGTGCGGTCACGAAAGAAGCAGCGAGAAGCACCCGAGTTCAGTGTGAAGGAGTGCAGTGCGGCAGTCGACGCAGTACCAAGGGGGGGAGACACACGAGCACCTAGAGCAGCAGCCTCACCAGCACCTGGGGTAGCCGACACGCGAGTACCTGGAGCGGCAGACGCACTGGCCCTAATGCCCGGGTCGGGCGGCACACACAAGTACTCAGCACCCTCTCCACTAGTAGACATCACATACATGGCAGATAGAATAGCATCAAAGTCTAGAGCATAGATATCAATCCCCTTCTTCAGGAGATCAAGCCAGCGGGGCAGCTCAGTGGCCTGAGGGAACTGAACACGCCAAGCGTCGTCGAGACGAGAGAAGCAGCGCTGTGTGGCGTGCGGTCGTCCACACTGCTGACCAGTGCGGTCACCAGTGCGAATGACGTACGTGCAGCTAAGACCACCC